ATATATATATATATATATATATATATATATATATATATATATATATATATATATAAAGGGGATTTTTATCAGGGACAGACACGAACAAAACTCTAGAAGACGGGAAACGAATTGTTTTTTTTTTCATTCGCAGCTTGACAAGGCGAAGTGGTGTGATCTTTGACCACCCATTCGTCAACAAAGCAGGGCCTGCCACATATTCTTCTGCGCATGCGCGGACGACGCAGATTTTTTTTCTGTGCAGAGGACGCAGCTGTTTGCGCAGACGACGCAGGTGTTTGTACGATGCAGATGTGTACTTTTCGGCCACGGTACCTAGTCTACGCCAGACTCCTTTTGCAGGCTAAATAAATCGTAGAAATCGTCAATCAATTGTCTGTCAATTGAATACTTTCACATTTTTATCCGCGAACATCTGCTTGTTCGGAAGATTGGGTGGTGAAAATTTCACGTAAGATCGCTTGTGATTTGCAGTTTGTCAGGAGACCGCCAGAGGGTGCTTCTTACGCCTAACCCATGACCTGCTTGCTTCAATACGGTTTGAGTCTTCCTATTCCTCCTTGGTTCAATATCAGTTTTAATACGTCAAAGGCTTGAATTTAAGCACTGTCCAAATGCAAAAGTACCTAAGTAACGGGTTCCTCCCTCAGTACTCGGTGTTCAGTACTGAAGGTGCCTTCCGAACTGAACTTCCAGTTCGGAAGTTCTGTCAGAACTGGGCGTCCAGATCTGAGGCGACTTCAGAACTGGAAAACTCTGAATCAGTTCTGGAAACCGAGAACTGAACGTTCCTTCCGTACTGGAAAACGCGGAGCGGCTTTGGCGTGAGTATAGCCCGGCTTACAAGCGCTGCCGGGCGATAGTAAAGCCGGGCAAGCTGCCGGACGGCCGCCGCAACATAAGGCGAACACGGCTGCCGGAGGACAACGAGAATACCTACAGGAAGCGTCTACGGGAGACGAGAGAAACTGCCGGGCGGCTAACAACGAAGAGCGGGCTGTTGAAGATCGGCACATCGACCAGTTATAGACCAATACTAGTTTATACGTTGGTGATGTCAGCAAGGCTACTTCTACTACTGTATTGAGACATATCGTATTCAGTACTGGAACATCCCAGTACAAATTAGAACGTGAGAACAGGAAGCCCAGTTCGGAAATAATTTGAAAACTCGGCTTCCAGTACTGTAGAGTCACTTTTTACTGGTCAATCCAGTACGGAACCCGTTACTTAGGTACATCGACACTCGGCTTTCCAGTACTGAATGACCTCCGAACTGGGTAACCAGTACTGAATGACCAGTTGAACCAGCCTTCCTGTAGCCGGGACGCAACACAGTACTGGGGTCCGAGTACCGACGGACGTTCAGGTCTGGAAAACGAGTTCCGAAACAAGATTCAGTTCTGAACTTCCAGTTCTGACGAAGCTTCAGTACTGGAATAACGCCGTTCCGAACTGGAATTCCAGTTTAGAGCTTTCTTCAGAACTGGGCCCCGAGTATCGACGCTATTTTCTCCACGGTTTCCGTACTGGGCGCCCAGTAAGGAACCCGTTACTTTCGTACCTTTGCTGTCCAAATGGGAAATGTTTAAAGATATATCCATTTTAATTTATTCTGTTCACAAACAAACGTATCACTGAGCAAACACACAAACGCGGCTCCTCCCCGTTTCAAATTTGGTTGCGCCCAAACTCGCGCACAGACTACTGGGTAAGGCGGAAAATGGCGGCGCCCACAGAAAAGGAACCCGCCTCGGGCTCGGAGAGCGATCTTACCGACGAGGTGAGGAGAACAGCCGAGGAACTCAAGAACCAGGCAAACTCGTATTTCAAAGGTGGGTCAAATCATGAGTTATCCTCGTGATCTGACAGCTTTTTGATCACCGTAGAACGCTAAACTGCTTAGCCGGTTTGTAACGTTTATAGCTAGTGCAAAAACTCTTCGTTGTTGTTCACCATGGCAAGTTAGAATAACAATAAAAATATGTACTGTGCAGTTATTATCTTAAGAAGAAATAACACAACATTCAAATTAGTTTCACTTTATCCGACGATGTTGTTGTCCCTTTGGTATAATTTTTTCAAGCATCCGACCGATACGATTTTAAAATGATGACGTCAGAAATTCCTTGGGAACCAAAAATATATCCTCCTTGATACTAGTGATAGTGATACACGTGAGTGTCGAATCTTACATAAAAATGCGTGTAGGTTTTTAGTTTTGAGATTCGAGAAACGTAAATAGCTTGTTACGTATAACATCATATTTGGTACATTCCATAACAAAGTGAAATTCATTTTCTATATATATGCTTTGGACAAAATGGACAGAACCTTTGGTCAGGGGCTATATTGTAATATCTGCCACCTGTTTCAATATTCAATTTATGGCTACTGATTCTTATATATAGCTTTACATGGGGGACGAAACATTCCAAAGTGTACAGTACAAGTTGTGCTTAGGATACAGTCTGGTACAGTGTCATTACTAAATACATGTAAATTGTTTTGCAGACAAAGATTATGAGAAAGCAACAGAGTTCTACACCAGAGCGATCGACCTTAACCCTTATAATGCTGCATACTACGGCAACAGGAGCATCGCTTATCTACGCACAGAGTGCTTCGGATACGCTCTGTCAGATGCCTCCAAAGCACTGGAAGTCGACAGTTCTTACGTCAAGGTGTGAAGTCTCATTGTTTTTCAAGAATTCTGATGAATCTGAAGCCTATTCGAGTTTTCTGCATGTGAAAAATCTGTGTGTGAGAACTTGGCACAAAAACTTTGCAAGTGAAAAATGAAGTATGTCATAGGGCCACACCAATTTAATTTCTTGGTTAACGGATTCGCCGCTTCATTTTTTTCTGATTTGCAAATGAAAATAAAAATTCAGAATCAACTGCAAAATGCTTATATTTTGCCCTGAACAGTTGAAAACAGTCCTTTCCATCCTAGTTGTTACAGTTACAGTTATTCCATCTTTCAATGCAATTGCATTTGGTATCATTAAAAGTTCAAAAGTCATTGTTTAACTTTAAATTTTGAACCAGCCTGGTGTGTTGACTTCATGGCTCGTATCGTACCATTTTAGGCCATTGATAGGATGCCTAGGCCTGTTTTTATTTATTTTTTTTTTATTTGCAAGCCCGCTCCATTATTTTTGTAGAAAAATCCATTAACCAAGATATTAAATTGGTGTGGCCCAAGTGAAAAATGAAGTATTTCATCAGTATGTCAGAAAAGATGCAGTACTTACCAAATTCTTAGGCAGAAAAATGTGGATCCTGTGATATAATTTTCCATCTGATACCTGAAATTTATGTTCAAACAACTAATGTTCTTTTAGGAGTTTGGGAATAGCGTAATTTGTATATCTTCCAATTGCAAACTTTTTGTGGGTGAAAACTTTACCTTTCAAGAAAATCACCTTAATTTCACAGCCACTGAAAAAGTTGATGAAGCAAGGCTAGAAGGCAATTAAATGATATTCAATTTTATTTCTTGTCTTTTAAACATTTATGATATTCTGTAAGGCCACACCAAGTAAATTTTATGGATGACATCCTTTGGAGACCCTATATCTAATGCGAGAGGGACAAAAAAAACAAGAAGGGCCCTAAAAACAAGATGCCTAGATTAGAAATTTACTAAGAGACGACAAATGTTAGGACACAAATTGAATGAGGTGACACAGTGTAACAAGCAAGAAGACTTTTATTCATCATCAAAACAGCAATAAATCAGGTGGAACAGCAGTTGTCGTCCTGTCCTGTTTCTTTCATCACATTTTTGCAGGCCAGCAGAAACAAAGCATGTGCTCTTTACGTCAATCTGACGATTTGCGGCACTGTCGTGGCTCTTTGGTCATAGTTACAGGAAGCGGAATTTCTTGGGTTTTTTTTTAGGAACAGGCCAAAATCAATGTGCGTGCGGACGTCATCCATAAAATTTACTTGGTGTGGCCTAATGTATTACCATTAACATAGACAAAAGGTATATATGATTGTCTGAAAAGTATGAAAAGTCTTCTTTGTGAATTGGACCTAACCTTTTTTTAAATTTTAGGCCATGTTGATTTGATTATATGGATGACATCCTGCGGGAGCCCCAAAACTGATGCGCGCGTGCGAATAAAAAAAAAGTTTTGCAAAAAAAAAGGTTAAACTTTTCTATTATGAAATACTACGTGGTCATGAGAGTTGAGCAAATAGGCACAGAATATGGTTTGGTCGAATAATCTAGTCTTCAAGTTCATTTCTTTACAATTTCGCTTTTTTCGTTTTGATTTTTGGCATTCTACGACATTGGTATAGTTTTTATAATTTTTTTGTAACTTATGGTATATTTTTGCTCATTTTGCAACTGTTTTGTACGATTTACAGTATGGTTGAAAACTTTCTTTTTTTTTTGAAACGGCCGAAAATTCATGCGCGCGCGGATGTCATCCATATAATCAAATCAACATGGCCTAACTGTTAATCTTACGTATCGTAACTGAACCTCTTCATCGATCACATTGCTAACAATGAAAACAAACCCCCGGGCCGCAGGAGGAGCTGAAGCGGGAGGAGGAGGCCCGTGAGCGGGAGTACATGGAGCGGTACGCCCGGGGCGAGGCGTCGGACGTGGACGACTCCGAGGAGGACGAGTCCCTGTCCGCCACCAGTGAGACCCTGGCGCCCAAGTTCGTCAAGAACTTCGAGAACATGACGATCTACGATGGCGACCCCGTCAGGTAAGTTTTACCGTGCAAATTTCAAATTCATAATTCATAATTAAGGATGTTAGTATTTT